GACTCATACATTCAGTTTGCTGTTTGCTTGTAAGCAAGACCATCCTGGAGAGACAATCTGAACTCTTATGTTAGTTTTTTCCACAATTTGAAGGGCTTTATAACTTCATGAGTGTAGCAAACTCATTATTCTAAGTGACTTCCTTCATACTGCTGTCACCAGTTAAGTTCAATTTTTTTTTTCTTTTTTGATTCTGTTTTTCTTTGTTGATTTTTATTCTTCTCTAAACTCTTTTCCAACTCTATCACATATCTTAAAACTATTTAAATAGAAAAAAAGTTCAATTGTTTATTTTCGCTTTTTATTCTAAGGACAAAACATTATCTGGCTTCAGGGCAAATGAATTATTCTTTATGTAACTTTTTGATAAACATTACCTTCCACTCTTCTTGAACTACATTATTATTTTTTTCTTTGATGATTTAGGGGTAATCTTCTAAAAAATCAACTATTATACTGTGCTGGAATATGAATATGCCTTCAGGCTATTAAGATTCAAAGAATTACTGTTCTGTGTACACTCTTCTTTGTGACGATACCTCTAGTTAAGTTAATCTTTTCTGGTGACTGGTTGTGTTTCTTCTCTCAATTAACTGCCAATAGACAGACACAAATACCAGTATGTCTGCTCGTTGCCTCCTGACCCACATCATCTGATAAACTATTCCCTGTTCTTAAACCAAATAGCCAAGCTTATAAAATTCACAGTCCTGCTCTGAATACAATTAGAAGTTAGTTGGTGCTGGAAGGGAGCCAGAGAACTGTTTCACTGCTCTCCTGTGGATAAATTCTTTGGCCTTAGCGGTAGTTTTTTCACTCTGTGACCTTTGCTCTTCTTGATTTGCAGCTATATTTTGAACTGTTGCAATTCTTGAAGGGCAGAATACAATTCTTGAAGGGCAGAATACTATCTTAACTTTCAAGTAAATATATTGCTTAAAATCTTCTAGTTTTCAAGCTAAGTAAGGCTGGCAGTTATCTAAAAGGCTTTGATTGTTTTAAATCTTTTCAATGATTTAAAAGATTACATGAAAATAAAATCTAGTCTTTGAATTCTTCATCTGTAACTAGAAGTTATTTAAAAACTGCATTCAGTTCCAAAAATACTTGACCCTCTTAAGTCAACTGCAAATGGCATTTTTTAAAAAAAGGAAAAACAAACAACATCAAAAAAAACCCTCCTTTGAGTAAGTAAAACTAAAACAAAAGATGAATAGTGCTCCTATTTATACTTACAGTATAAATGACTATACTGTCTTCAGATTACTAGTGATGTTTTGTCTTTAGGAATGAGGCATTAAAAAATTGTTTGGGAAAGTACTTTGTGCCTAGGCAGGACTGATGGGCTTCATTGTAGGATGACCAGGCAGCAACCCAGCCATTTGTTATAAACTCCCCAAATGTTGATATTTATAGATATACTCTATACTGACATTTAATTTTTCAGGAAGATCCATCCAGTCTTCTGGTAGGTTGAGGATGGCAGAAATTACACCAGGCTGCCGTGGTTTTTGGTGCCAAGGGGGCTGGAGGTGAGGTGGGGATCTTGCCATTCAATGTATAGACTTTAATTTAATCCCCTTGGTTCTTTTGCCTTCTTTACTATGGACTGTATCTGGTTTGCCTCTTCCGGTTTCTTGTTGGATAGATGGTGGGAGAATTAACCGATTATCTGGGATGGAGGACATGTCCTGGGGATTTGATAGCTCCATTTAAGCATTTGTCCTGTATTCTATTCTGTTCTGCATTGTTTAACTTCACAAATATTTTTCAGTTTTTATTCCCTTTTGTAGATAAGCTCTTTATCTAGTGAAGGTGGCATTTGATGGGAAGCATAATGATAAAACCATGGGCTTGGAGTCACACTATTTAAGTGACTTTAGGAAAATTATTTAAGTTATCTGAGCTTCAGTTTCTGCATCTGTAAATGATAAGACCAGCCTCCTCAGATTGTTAGGATTAAATAAATTTGTGTACAGATTGCCTTGCATAAAGCATTTATGCTATAAATGCTTAGTCCCTTCAAATAAAGAATCTGTCTCCTCTTAATTTGGTTATATGTTCTGTTTTAGCTATCTGTCTAAAGATTTGAAATGAGCAGAGCAAACTAAATATAAATTAGAACTCTTTTCATTAATTCTAAAATTTCATATTTTTAGCTTATATTCAGCAATTTGTAGTGAAATTCAAAGTGGCCATTAATCATCCAGTATTGCACGTAAAATTCTGTTTAAATTATAAGCAATGATAGGCAATAATTTTTATATTTTAACATTTGTAAAACGACCCTCTTATTAATCAGTATTTGACAAAATACACTTGTAAAGAATTACAGATATTTCCTTAGCCCTGAAATGACTCATTCATTTCAGTTAAACAGTCATCAGGCCTTTAATCGTGGTACTTATTTCTGATTATCAGGTCTGCATCAGAAATTTGTGACAGCTAAGTTAGCTTTCAAAAAATTTTACATTAGCAACTACTGAATACTTCTGTGCCTTGTTATCTAGTCAAAACTGTTATGCTTCAAGTATTCTGATTGACTTGGTATGAAATATTTTTGGAGGGCTTTTTATAAAATAGGAGCGCGGAGCCCTGGTGGCGCAGTGGTTAAGAGCTTGGCTGCTAACCAAAAGATGAGCAGTTCGAATCCACCAGCCGCTCCTTGGAAATCCTATGGGACCATTCTACTCTGTCCTATAAGATCACTATGATTCAGAATTGACTCGACAGCAGTGGGTTTGGTTTTTGGGTTTTGGGTTTTTTAATAAAACAAAGCAGG